CCGCTTTTTGTGAGAGTCCGTATGGAGACACTACCACCACCGCTGCTCTCCTACTGCATACCCCACCATGCCAAAGAATGGTGGCTCACACCTGTAATCCCGGTGCTTTGGGAGGCCAAAGAGGAGGAACACTTGAGATCAGAGGTTTGAGATCAGAGGTCTGAGACCAGCCTGGGCAACATAGTGAGACCTCATTTCTACAAATAAGTTAAAAAAAAAAAAAAATATATATATATATGGCATAGTGGCGCACACCTGTGTTCTCAGCTTTTCAGCAAGCTGAGGCCGGAAGATGACTTGAGCCCAGGAGTTTGGGGCTGCAGTGAGCTAGGATTATGCCACTGCACTCTAGCCTGGGCAGCAGAGAGACGCCATCTCTAAAAAGAGGAGGGAAAATACTGCTCCTTCTCAGACCCAAGGTAAAAAGGTTTTTGGTCTCACACTGACCAAAAAAACATTGATATTTACTTAAGCAATATAAAAAGGGTCACTGTTTTAGAACAGAGGATTAAAGAGAAAGTAAAATCAGCACTGAGATAGGAGGACGGAGGACATTAACTGAGTTCCGATCCCAATGAAAAGAAGAAAAAGCTCCATCTACGTGAAGTATCTACTTATCCTAGAAAAAGCCTTTTGACAGCAACATAAAATTCATACCTCTTAGTTTTTAAATTCTTATGGATGCTGTAGCAAATAACCACAATTTGGGTGACTGAAAGCAATGGAAGTTTATTCTTTTCCAGTGTTGGAGACCAGGAATCTGAGATCAAGTTGTGGGCAGGGCTGGACTCCCCCTGGAGGCTCTAGGGGAGGATCCTTCCTGCCTCTTCCAGCTCTTGGTGGTTCCAGGCATCGACGCTGTCATAGGACAAAGGGCCCTGGGTGCCGACTTCCTGGGGAGGGCCGTGCCCCGCTGCGGTTCGGGGTCCCCCGCGAGGCTACCCCTGTGCCCTGGGTCTCCCCGCGGGGGCGCTCGGAGAGGTGGAGCTTCCCCTGCAGCCCCGGCGAGTCTCCCCGACCTGCCGGATGCCTTCCCTGGAAAGCCGACGGCTCCTCTAGGAGACCGCCCTCCATCCCCGGGTCCGACGTCACAAAACCTCCTGCGGGTCACCTCGCCTGGGGAACCTCGTGCGCCCTCCCTGGCAGCGACCGCAGGGACACTGGCCTCCGTTTGCCCAGCGGCAGGTCCTAGGCGTGGAAAGCACACATTTCTCCCAGTTCGCCCGCCCCCTGCGGCTCGGAGCCCGAGAACCGCCTGCTCTCATTTCCAATCGGATAATAGGGACGCTGAGAATAACAACTAGGACCAGCACCGCGAAGGCGCTCCTCTCGTGGGTCAGAGGTAGGCGCCCCTGCTCCGCAGCACCCACCC